GAATATCGATATATCGGATTGCAAAAACATCGGGCAATAATAATCGATAAAATCGATAATAAAATCGGACGTTTCGATTAATCGGTCAACATCGCGCATCCCTTCAGCTCAATCAGCTGTAAAGTGTAAGCGATGGGTAGGCGGGCATCGGGTATGTCATAAGGAGAGCGGAGAACGGCAATAATGACGAGCGACAGGAAATTCGAGTCAGAACGGCGGAGTCGGCTCGTATGATCGGAGAGAGATTTATAGAATTTCACGTACACGACGTACGCCATGTGTCCCGCACTCTTGGAGAACGAGGAACGATGTTTGGGTGGCATGACTTTCTTCGCGCAAAGTCACCCGGTGGAGGTATGCGGCAGCAACGGTCTGCCGCTCACGCCGAATTCGATAACCATCTATGGGAAGGCGCAGTTTTTAAAGACCGTCTACCATCCCCATCTCTCCCCGTATCTCGATATAATTAGAAGCAAGCACGGTGAGTCCTTTTTGACAACTGCGAATAAGTTTGTCTGCTTGACCGTATAATTGTTTTGCGCAAATTATTTTTGTAGAGAGGATTGTGGTCGTTACGGAATACAGTGGAGATCCGTTGAGCACCAGACATGACCTAAGTACAGAGGAGATCGTCAAGATATCCTTTCAGAGTCTCTTAGCGCTACGGCACATGAACGAATTAGATCTGGTGCATAGGCACTTGAGTCCAGATAATATATTGATTAAGAAAAACGGTGATGTTCAGTTGTACAATTACGGATTGTATTACATGACAGACGGAGGGAAGAATGTGTCTTTCCCAATTGGGTATTTTCAAATATTCTCCTTTACTGATGTAGACATTGATAGATTTACGAGCTTGTTGTAAAATCTCAAATGAAATTCTTCTTTCCAGTTCTCCGAAGTATACGGCACCGGAGGTATTTCTGACTCCTAGTCCAAGTGGTGTTAAGATAGATTCCTGGTCCCTGGGAATGATTATAGCGGAGCAACTGTTAGGGCAGCCCGTCTGGCCTGGCGTAAAATTGTCCCAGTGCTTGAGGAAAGTTCTGAGCTTAATATTGTGTGATACCAGCATATTCGAACGTCTTGCCAGGGAAAACAATTGTTTCCACGTTTATGAAGTATGAATTTCAGAATTTATCTGTCATGCATTACAAGCTGTTTACATTATGATGGCATATATTTTACATAACATTGTATCTTTGTATCATGCAGAAGTTACCAAAAGAGCTGAAGGAATTCGTAGATTCGTGTCTGCAAATTCATTCTACTAAGCGCAAGACGCCAGAGGAATTGCTGGAACTGCCGATATTCGCGGAACACTTAACGAGAAATACGCAGGAGAAGGGAGAAAATCTCTATAAGAATGTTATTGTTAGAAAAATGGATGAGTTATATTATTTGTGGCAATTGGCCGGCGGAGATATTACTGTGGATCTAAAAAGGCAAAGTCTCATCAGATCGAGACCGCCTATCTTGTCTATTCCAAAGTAATTTTCAAACATACCTGTATATGTATAATAATCATTGATACAGATCGTTCAATAGGATTATATCGAATATTTAAAATTTCTGTTTCAGTTTAGTCATACTACTGGGCCAAATGTTTGGCCAGAGGGACACCGCTAGTCTACTCGACGTGAGGGTCGTAAAAGTTCCTATGGAGACTCTTCGCCAGCGTTTAGCTCACATCCCATACATAGCAAATTATCCTTGGTTGACAAATCAGTCAGTACATTTACTTTTATTCTCGTCCTATATTTATCTCGATATTATAAAATTATTATAAAAATTTGACGTTACAGAATGCGAGTTCAGGCACAGGAAGATCTAACGAATGCTGCGTGTCAGTTGCCATTAATCATAAGGGAGCGCGATACGGAATATCAATTTTACAGGCTTGTCCTGTTTGATAGACTTCTGCAGGCTTATCCACTCACTCAGGAGGCGATTATCGAGGAAGCGCACAAGGATATACCGCCTCCGGTTAGAGGTGCCGTGTGGGCAGCTTTGCTCGGTATCAC